GGGGGCGAGTGACCCCGGGGGGGGGGCGGCCCGGCGGGATGGAGGGGGAGGAGGAGGGGGGGTGGATGAATCCATCCGGCCTCCGCTCGCGCTTTACAATATCCCAAAAAAAAAGGGGTTTTTATATAAAAAAAAGAACCAAAAACCCAACAAAACCACCCAAAACACCAGGGGGGGGAGGGGAGGGGGTGAAGCGTCTCCCGGGACGCTCTCCGTTCCTCCCTCCCGTTGGGAGGTGGCATCACCGTTGAGGTTCAACTGCGTCCAACCAGTAAGACTTTCTTCTTCCTCTTCCTCTTCCTCTCTTCTTCCTCTTCCTCTTCCGGTTGTCGCTGGGCCGGGTTGGTCGTTATCTATTCAACGTCCTTGCTCCAAGGCCACCGTTGTGATTAGGGGCAAGGTAAGTGTCCGTACGATGAACGGGTGAGGAGAAAGGAGAGGAAGAGGAGTTGTAGGAAGATGAAGGAGTCCGGATGTTCTGCCCCCCTGTCTGAGGTTGTTGGAGGTTGAGGATGCTGTCGATGGCGCTTTGGAGGTGCTCGTTGAGGGAATCATCTTGGGGGCTGTCGCTGGAGAAACTGGCGTTGTCCACCTCGAATGATTCTGACTTTCTCCTCTTGGCGGGAGGTAACGGCACCTCCCAGTTGAGTTCTGAACCCGAACTCTGATCGGGAGGTTCTGGTTTTATCATCCCACGATAAAATTCATCCTCTACTTCTGCAAGCTCCTTCATAAGGCCACTGGTGGAGTCGTCGGTCTTCGGTGGAGCCGGGTTGTCTTGAAGGACCAAGGAACGGGTGTCGCTCCGGTTGAAGAACGGCAGCTTGGAGCTCTCCTCCGACCGGCTCTTCTCCACCACCGAGGGGCTGTCCTGGCTCTTGTGGGAGGTGATGACGCTCCTGGATCCATCCTCTTGCTTGATGACGAGGGCACCAGGGGGGAGTTTGTCAGTTTTGGGGACGTTTCCTTTGGGACAGGGGTTTTCAGTGGGTTTCTCGGCCACGAAGGCGTCGACGTTCTCGCGGTAGGTCTTGCGAAGAGGGAGCCGGCAGTAGGTCACCATGGGTTTCTTCTCGGTGGGAGTGGAGGTGATGTGGTCGACGGTGCCGTTCATCTGCCCGGCGTTGGTGGAGGTGGCGGTGGTCACGGTGGTGACGTGGGGGTCGGGTCCTTTGATGACCCGACAGATGGGAGGGGGTGGTGGTTGGTGGACGGGGTCCAGGGCGGTGTTATGAACCACTTTGCTCAACCCGGCTTCTTGTTTGATCTTTAACTTGAGGCCGATCCGACTCCGAGCCTCGTAGGTTTTGATGGGGGGTTTGCTCCTCGAGGGCAACGTGTCCTCGTCCCCATCCAAGGAAGGAGAAGCTTTGGCCCAGGTGACCGACGGGGACCCCCCGCTGTGCTTGATGACCAGTTTGGTGGGGTGAAGAGGAGGGACTGGCTGCGCCGGGGGGACCTTCAGGTTGTCGGGAGCTGGTGTTGAGCTGGAGACAGAGGCCAAGGTGACCGAGGAGGAGAGGTTCTGCGAGCGGGAGGAGGAGGAGGAGACGTACTCATCTGGAAGAGAAACACCAGGTGAGGTGTTAGCACGAGCATAAAACATGATCCCTTTGTTAATTCCTTCTTAAAAATCATTAATATTCTACTAAAATCACTAAATAACCCGTTTTGCACAGTCGTTTGCTTGTGCTGGGATGGATTCTTCCCTCTTCCACTTCTCTGCCCTCCAACAACCTCCACCCCTTCTCACCTCCCCCAAGGGAAGAGGCTGCAGCTTCACACAAACCTTCTATAAACTCTAATTGTTGGAAGCCCAAGTGCTTAAAGACTTTGACCCCCGAGATTTTGAACACAGAGTGAGCAGGTGGCAGCAGGGAACACTCACTCCTAATTTGAACAGTTTTTCCCCCAAAACCCCGCTGACCCTGGTGGAACGGGCTGTCGCTGTTGTGCTCTGAGCAGCTCAGGGTATGGAGATGTCGTGTTGAAGGTTCCCAAGAGGAAGAAAACATCAGAAAAGCAGCTCAGGGTCACAAAAAGTGGACAAAGAGAAGAAATAATCCGCCTCCCACCTGGTTTCTCCTTCGCCAGCTGCTTGTCGAGCGCCAGCATCGTCTTCTCCTCCTGTATAAACATGCGGTCGATCATCACCATCTCCGCCGAAGGGCTGACTCGCTGCGGAGGAGGAAGAGGAGGGAGGAGGAAGGGGAAAGGGAGAAGGAGGGAGAAGGAGATGGGAGAAGGTGGAAAACAGGAGAAGGAAAACAAGAAGAGAAGGAGAAGAGATGAGAAGGAGGAGGAGGAGAAGAGGAAGAGATGAGGAGAAGGAGAGGAGGAGGAGAAGGAGGAAGGAGAAGGACAAGAGATGAGAAGGAGGAAAAGGAGGAGGAGGAGGAGGAGGAGAAAGAGAAGAAGAGAAGGAGAAGGAGAAGGAGAAGGAGAAGGAGAAGGAGAAGGAGAAGGAGAAGGAGAAGGAGAAGGAGAAGGAGAAGGAGAAGGAGAAGGAGAAGGAGAAGGAGAAGGAGAAGGAGAAGGAGAAGGAGAAGGAGAAGGAGAAGGAGAAGGAGAAGGAGAAGGAGAAGGAGAAGGAGAAGGAGAAGGAGAAGGAGAAGGAGAAGGAGAAGGAGAAGGAGAAGGAGAAGGAGAAGGAGAAGGAGAAGGAGGAGAAGGAGAAGGAGAAGGAGGAGGAGGAGGAGGAGGAGGAGGAGGAGAAGGAAAACAAGAAGAGAAGGAGAAGAAGAAGAGATGAGGAGGAGGAGGAGGGGGAGGAAGAGCAGTTGTGGTTACACATCACCACCTCAACCCACTCCTTTAATTATCCTCCCAGCTTTTTCCCACCCCTGTTCTTCACAAAAGACCAACGAAAGCTCCAGCTGGAACCACCACCCACCAAAAAACCCAACCCCCCAGGGGCTGAGCCCTCACCAGCCCCACCGCGGTGCCGGATGCCAAGCGGGAGAGACGTGGATGGATCCGAATCTGTTGGGTGTTGGAGAAGAACCTACGACGTGTTTGGGACTCACCCGCGACTCCTCCAGCAGGAGCAGGCGGTACTTGTTGAGCATGGCCTGCGTGCGCTTCAGCAGCTGCGTGGACACCACCTCGAACTCCTCGTCCACTGCGAGGAAGAGGAGGGTGGGGAGAGAAAGTCTGTGTCACCAGGAGAAGTGAAAGTCTGTGTCACCAGGGGGTGGGTGGCTCCTGAGGAAACCCCGTTTTTTTCACGGTTGAGATTGTTCAGAATCTGCTCACAAGTTGGTTTTTAATGATTTTAACATCTTTGGGGTTGGACTAGATCATCTCCTGAGGTCCCTTCTCCTGAAAACTTCAACTATATTGCCCCAGGAATGGATGTTTGGGGAGAGAAAGTCTGTGTCACCAGGAGAACATGGATATGGGGTGGTGCCTCCTGAGGAAACCCCATTTTTCATGGTTGAGATTGTTCAGAATCTGCTCACAAGTTGGTTTTTAATGATTTTAACATCTTTGGGGTTGGACTAGATCATCTCCTGAGGTCCCTTCTCCTGAAAACTTCAACTATATTGCCCCAGGGATGGATGTTTGGGGAGAGAAAGTCTGTGTCACCAGGAGAACATGGATATGGGGTGGGTGCCTCCTGAGGAAACCCCATTTTTCATGGTTGAGATTGTTCAGAATCTGCTCACAAGTTGGTTTTTAATGATTTTAACATCTTTGGGGTTGGACTAGATCATCTCCTGAGGTCCCTTCTCCTGAGAACTTCAACTATATTGCCCCAGGGATGGATGTTTGTCTCGAGGGAAGGCAGAGATCGCTTCTCCGTGTTGTTCAGCACTAAAAACACCGGGTTTTTTAAAATTTAATCCATTATCCCCAGGTTTGAGCAGCCCCAGAGCCACACACCAGCCCCTTGGGGAATGATTCCTGGAGGTGACTTAGAAATCTCACTGCCCTGGTTCTCATTGTTGTGCCAAAATCACGTCCTTGATGGAAATTTGCTCGTTATCTGGCCAAATGGCACCTCCAGCCCAAGAGCCACCGGCCACCACCGAGGTGTGACCACCCCTCTCCATTTCCTCTGCTCTAGACCTAAAGCGAGGAGATTTTACACCAATTCTACTACAGGTTTGTGTGACTGGAGTCAACCTGTGCCTGAAAGGAAGAAAAACAGGAGAAAAGGGCCTAAAAGAGGGGGGGTGTTTGTAGATTTATGGTCTGAAGTATCTTACACTTTGTTTTCTCTTAATGTGTTTGGAAATTTAAGCTCTTTGGTATCTTACACTTTGTTTTTTCTTAATTTAAGTTGTTTGTAATTTATGTTCTTAAATATCTACTCTTTGTTTTCCTTAATATGTCTGTAAATTTATTAAATATCTACTCTTTGCTTTCTCTTACCTTAAAATGTTTGTAGATTTATGTTCTTAAGTATCTTACACATTTTGCTTTCTCTTAAAGTGTTTGGAAATTTAAGTTCTTGGGTATCTTCTACTTTGCTTTTTACTCTTACCTTAAAGTGTTTGTAGATTTCAGTTCTTAAGTACCTAACTTAACGTGTTTGTAATTTATGTCCTTAAATATCTACTCCTTGTTTTCCTTAATATGTCTGTAAATTTATTAAACATCTACTCTTTGCTTTCTCCTACCTTAAAATGTTTGTAGACTTATGTTCTTGAGTATCCTACTCTTTGCTTTCCTTAAGGTGTTTGTAATTTATGTTCTTGAGTATCCTACTCTTTGCT